GTCCAAGCCTATCAGCAGTAAGGAAGCAATTGTAAGCGATTTTTCATATCCATTTATCTTTTGATATTCCTATTAAATTTCCTTAAGTGGCCTTTTGTGACTGGCATCATTAAACATGAAAAAGTGACAATTTTCCTAAAATTTTCTAATGTTACGAAGGCGTCGCAGTTCTAGATTATATTATGTTGGCCAGCTAAAACGGTAATTACCTGAGATATAAATCAAAGTTTATGAAGCTTTGAGAGTTGCCAATTCACATATCACCGGATTACTTTGCTGAAAAAAAAGACAATTGGCAAGTTGCTTTAATTTATGAGTCTACTCCGCGATTTTTATCCGGCCTACGATATAATTTTTCCTTACCTCTCAGCCTAAGAGCCAAAAAATTCCCCTTTAATCGAGAGGAAAAAGTTACCCTTAGATTTCTTGGCGAAAATTCTCTCTTTTTCGATATTCTTTCCACCTTGAAAGGTGGGTAACACAAATGGGCGGCAATAATTTTACCGTAGACGTAACGACACCTGCCAGTACAGGAGCAGTTCATTCACAAGTTTGATTTAAGCACTACAGAGCAAAACTTTGAATTTTGAAGGGACATTACTGCGAGAAGTATTTTGGTGAAAAGAACTTAGCCCAGCATCTTATATACAGGATGCCTGGTAACTGACAGTAAAAAGCTTTTCCTTGTTCAGTTAGCATGAAAATTAAGAAAAGAGCTCTATGAAAACACAAATTTCATTGATATTAAGCAGATGTCCGTGGAAAAAATATGGCTTTCAAGAAGTATAAAGACAACAATTAGCACTCGTTAAGTTGTATTGAAACCTTCGCTAACGGACAGACGAGCAAAGCCCACCGAAGGCAACAAGGTTTAACTCACCCACGCAAACTGGCCACTGAGTGAGGTAGCATCAGATCCAACCAATGTTTCATACCTGTATCGGCCGTTGTTTGGTTATTTTAATCGGAGTACTATTGTCTCTTTTGAGACGTGATGATGGGAGTTTTTCTNGCGGTAAGGTGATAAAATTTAAGGTAGAGCAACCAGCCCTTTTCAAAAAGAAAATCATGATGGTCACAAAATTAATTGTCTTTAGCGGGATCAAGCGATGATTAATCTTTAAACCGGTGATGTATTATCAAACATTTCCTTTCTAGCCAACCTTTCATTATGATGCTGGTTTCTGGAGTAATAAAACGGAATACAACTCTGCTGGAGGACAGACTGGCTTTGATTCGCAGGAGACCAAGTTACCGACATACTGGAACACATCCTTCTCTAAGATTTGCCTCGGTATGAAGATTGGCGGACAGATCAGGTTCATTGTCCTCAACATGGAGGCCAGCTCTCTATACTCGCTGATCGCTGACCAGAAATACCGAAGTACCTCATTGGGTCGTGACACGTGGAAGAAGCTTATTGGACCAGAGGCCTCCCTGCAGCCTAACTGTAACAGGGAAGGTTTCAATGTTGTGTCTAATGTCGTTACTAACCCTAGAGCAAGAATCCGTTTGATTGCAAACAATCAGAATGACTGCGACACCTGCGACTCCAGGATTGGATTTGGTACAGGAGGGCTATATGATGATTCCAACACGTGTGGAAACGAGGCCTCTCGTCTCGATACAGATAATGGAGATAAACACATTAAAGCCATGGGATATATTTTAGTTCATTGAGAACAAAACAAAAACAAAAATTCTTATTCTCTTCATTTGTATTAATCTGTCTTCAATTTTGGCAGGGCTTATGTCGGTAGAATGGTACATCCAAGGTTACTCTAGCAAATGTTTTTGTTTGTCAATTGGAATTTTCCGGGAAACTCTAATCTGAAAATCTGAAACAATTCGTATCGATTAACTCTACCTGTAGCCAAAATTACTTACCGTGTCTTACTTTGATAAGAATTTTAATTGACAGAAAAGTGAAAAGTCCTGCGAGTGAAATAATTGCCCTTGTAAAAAAATTCTTGATACCCCATTGGAGTAAAAACGAACAATAAAACATTAATAAGAATGAAGAGTGTGCGAAGTTCCTCTTGCTGATCTCCCATACAGCGATATCTTTCACCCACTTATGGTGTAAAGGCATCATAATCCTTCTGATATCATCGACTGATTAGTGTGAGTGATGAACTTCACCGGTCTAAAGATCCATAAACTGTCTGATTTCTTGCTCCATGAGAACTACAACCGGCAAACGCTATGCAAGATGTCAAAAACGCCTCCAACAACATTTCACCTCTCATTTAAAGTTCAGTCGAATCTGTATCAAGCGGCACTGTATGAAACGGTCACCTTGTATTAGGCGATCGGTTTTCAAAGTCCCCAATTTGTTTTCTCAGAATCACCGTAATTTTCACTTCTTTTAAGCAGTCACCTCTATTAGGCTGTCGTGCTCACCTTCGATTGAGTCCCAAGGGCCTGTTCGTCAGGCTTTTTACCTGTATTGAACGGTCACTTAAAGCGGATCTACTCAAGGAAAACTAAGGCCCCGTCCACACGTATCCGAATATTTTTTAATCCGCAACTTTTTCTCTCCGGATACGAAAATATTCGCGTCAAAACGAATTCCCCCGTCCACAGGTATCCGGATTCACTCCGGATTCACTCCGGATTCACTCTATTACCCAGTCGCGGCATTTAGCAGCCGCAAAATTTCCATGTTTCAGTTAGCGTGCACCAGTTCAAACAATTAAAAACATGTCGAAATCAGGCAAGAAAGCTAAGAAGAATGAAGGGAACAAGCCAGAATCATTCATATGGAGCGACGACGAGGTAGAGTTGTTATTGAACGTAAAAATTGAGTTCAAAGCCGCGAAATCTATGGAGAACATTGACTGGGGGTCGTGCCACAGTAAATATGGCGATATTTTAGATCGCTTTGTAAATCAGTATCTCGGCGGCCATATTTAACTTTGTGCGGTAAACACTGGCGCCAGTTTTCTGCGGTCAACGTATCAGAAAATATCCGGAATCGACCGTCCACACGTATCCGAAATGTTATCGGATTAAAAAATTTCCACTCTCGAGAGCGGATTAAAAAATATCCGGATTTGCTTGCGAATTCGCTGGATACGTGTCGACGATAGCCGTACCCAGAACGAAAAAGTTGCGGATTCAAAAATATCCGGATGCGTGTGGACGGGGGCCTAAGAATAATCTTTCAAGAAAAAATTGAATCCATATTTATCTGTTGAAACAAGAGCCATAATTGGGACCAATTATGGCTCTTGGTTGAAATCACTGTTAATAGTATTTTTGAGGGAGTTCTCGAGAGTTCTTGCCTTGTTGAAGCAAATACCACGAGGAAAAGCATGTGATTATGTATTAATAATATACATGAAAAAATTCGAGACAGCTTATCATAATTAGGCTGAAGAAAGGCGCGCGCATCGCGTACAAAGATAATTTATTCAAACCCTGCAAGTGACATCGGGCGTTCAGTCAAAAAAATGCTTACGATCAAAACAATAAGATGAAATGAAATTTTCACATCTTTAAGGCGCAAAAAAGTTCCAAGTCTGGCTAAGCAGTTCAAGAAATTGTTCAGTGAGTCTGGTGATCCTGTGAGTTTCTTTGATTTTTGACCAATCAGAATGTCTGGTTTGTTACTTTCTTTGCAGTGAATTAACACTCTTCTGCACTGAATTACCTGAAAACTGCATTCATCTTAGTAGATAGGGATGACAGGTCCTGGACCAAAATTGTGGAATAAATTAAAAAACAAGAGAAAACGTGGTGAGAACAATAGATTTTTGATATAAAGGAACTAAGAAGACATGTCGTCAAGGAGACAAACTGTGGAATAAATTAACTCAGAAAGAGTCAAACTATGGGAGAGTTTGAGGGTGTTTTATGGTTTAGATGTAGATGTTAGGGTTAGGGTTTTAGGGTTTTATGGTTTAGGTGTAGGTGTAAGTGTTAGGGTTTTAGGGTTTAGGATTAAGATTTAAAGTTTAAGGTTTTCAATTAGAATATGAGAAAGTCCTAATGAATCAAACAATGGAAACAATGAAATCCAAGATGGTGTCGTTGTAATTGCATCATCAGAAAGAAATAGTTAAAACTCGAAGTGCTTCTTATCAAAGGAATCCTAATTTTAGTGATTTCTTTTAGTAATTCTCGGGTTTATAAAAAGGGTTAGGGTTTTAGGGTTTAGGGTTAAGATTTAAAGTTTAAGGTTTTCAATTGAAATATGAGAAGAGAGAATAAGAGAGCCCTAATGGACCTAATGTATGNACTGTGAGAGTATGGAACTATCCCTACAAGATTTAATACAATTTTTCTTTTGGTATGAGCAACGATTCAACCATTTATATGATTGGAAACAACCTTTCATAGCTGTAAAATTTACCCATGGTGAGCAGAAATCAAAATTTTATTTGGATCGAGTCATGGAGGAAAGCACTTTTAAAATTCACATTCAACCGCAAAGAAAACCTCACGAGAATGAAAATTTACTCATGTCTTTAAGTGATGGATTACTTACCACACTTCAACTATGTTTGTGGAAATATGATATGACTAGTGTATATGAAATTACTCTAGAAGCCGTTGAACTTTTACCATTACCTTTGACAAGATTTTTAGGAAAGCTTACACAGATACCCCTATTCGCATTTTTCGAACCATCCCCAACCCTAGAAAGGATCTTGTATGCTATGTTCATTGGATGATAACAAAATTAGAATTTCCTAGTATGGAATTTAAAGTGACACTCAACATCATCACAACACATAAAGAGGCTGATCAAAAGGTATTCATTTACATTCTACTTTTTTTACAAAGGTTTTTTTTCTCGTAATTCCTATAACTCAGCTTTAATGCCTGTGAATGGTATGGTATGGTATAGCCTCGAGCAAATCTTACGCTTCTTTCGTGCTTAGCAACCTCCCGCTTTGGTGGTGGTTCTGGTGGTAGTCATTTCTGTTTATCTTGATCTTGTTCTTTCTTTCTTTGCTCGTAGATGGCTTCATCTTACGCTCATTTATTTTCCACTTCTAAAATCTTTTGACATAACACCACCGTTTTCAAATCATGACAGGCCTGATCTACCATGCCTTGTCCCTATGTAGTTGTCATCTTGGGAATGATGATGGAGAAGAATCTTTTAGGAAATGTACCATGTGCATGATGTTGCTTTAATTCTTCCAGAATGCGCTCTTTATATTTAATTCCTGCTTTAATAGTCATCTATTTTATTGGATGCTCTTTAAGAGCTATGGCACGAGTTGGCTGCGACTTAGTCATGTTATCCCTATGAAGTGGTGTGAACTAATGAGAACTTTTGTAATGTTATCTTTTATAAAAATAGATGTAGAGATGAGAGTATTAATCATTTACTGTGATGTACTGGAGAGAGAAGGATGAGTGGGTTTTCCTACGTATGCGATGACTGTAAGGAAGACTTGATCTATTGATTTACAAAACCAGCCTGACACTCATGACGCGAGAGAAAATCCATCGTACCAAAGTCTTTTTAGAACTCTTAAAACTCGTACCTGAAAAGGAAAAAGCTGGAGAATTAGTTAGAGTGTATTTAAAGACACTAAAGATTTGTTACGCACACACACACACACAAACACACACACACACACACACACATACATACGCATATCCACATTTTAACTTTGCCATCAACTTAATTTACGCTTTCAACTCATTTTTAGATATTCATTCAGTAGTTTATCCACATCAAGATTTAGATCCATTGTCCTTTTTCTCGGAAAGATTTCAATGGGTTCTACAAAGCCATTGTTTTTATTCTCGGAAAGACTACAATAGGGTTTACATGTTTCTTTTATTTAAAATGTCTGTTTTGAATACTAATTTTAACTCGACTCTCATCCCTACATACGCGCTACCAAGACCCATTCGATAATTATAAGTACGCTAAAACTTCTACTTATAACCTCTATCTTTAAAATAACCTTTAATCCCTATTTTACCTACATAAACACATAAAATAATTTCAATAGAGTTTGAAAGTTAGATATAAATATTTGTTTTTCATTCGTGTATAAGATATATAAATGCGTAGGAGTTCTCATCATTTGCTGTCGAATGCTGTAGAGAAAAGAGTTCTTGAGAAGATGGAATCGCAGACTGTAGAGTGTTATGATAACATGATGGACTACGAAAACTGTTTAGCGGCTTTGACGCAACAAAAAATTCCTCGCATCACTGTTTCTAGAGGTAGTAAAAACTTGTACCTGACAACAAGAAAGCCACGGAACTCGTAAAGGATGTATTTTAAAAACAGCGACGAACTTTATAAGACAGTTCAATAGAGTAAATAAATATATAATGTAAAGTTTATCTGTGTCACTACATTTAGTCGCATTTTTCGAATTTCGTTGAAAGACATCTATCCACAAATCGCCCTTCAGAAGAAAAAATAGCCCCACTGTCTTTATTCCCTTTCTGGCTCTTCCTTTCCGGAGTTTGTTTTGATCGTACGCAGTTGTTTTGACTGAACGCCCGATGTCACTTGCAGGATTTGAATAAATTATTTTTGCACGTGATGCGCGCGCCTTTCTTCAGCATAATTATGATAAGCTACCTGGTATTTTTTCATGTATATCATTAATACATAATCACATGCTTTTCCTCGTGCAATTTGCTTCAACAAGGCAAGAACTCTCAAGGAGGATACTTTAGTGTCGAGCGTTTAACGTCCGCTGTTTCTCAGAATGATGTCGGCTCGGGCTGACGGCTTTCCACTTATATACCGTGACCAACACTCAAGGTCTTAAAATAATTGAGAAGAATTTGCTACCTTTCTATAACATCAAGAAATGGTTAGATATTCTAGTCTTCTCGGATAGGGACGAATAAATGGAGGTCCCGTCTCCGGCAGGGTTGGGGTAGGAGACGTTAATTTCCCACACACGAGATTACTGTGTGATGGATGTCCTCCCCTGGGGTGGGATGGGTGGGAAGGTGAGATCGATATGGACTGAAGCGGCTGCCAGAGGCGCCTGAATGCTGACGTCTGTCCTCAACCTTAACAACATCTCATTGTAACAAACCTGTAATTCAGCTCTCTGCAAAAGGTTTGAATAAGCATCATATCATATTAGTACATGACATGCGTACCTTACTTTGCATACATCACTTTACATACATTAGTTATACGGTTACGCCATTACAGATACTAACAAAATTGCATGAGTTCTACGGGCTCATGCAATTTTGTTAGTATATGATTATTAGTATATTATAATTTATATGATTAAAACCATTTTAAAGTGGTGTCAAAAACGATCGCGTAAGTTGCAACCGCGGAAAATTCAGAATGGGAATGAAAATCATTCTCCGTGATTGGTAGCTTAGGCAATCTGCAGTAGTATTTTTAGACATTTGGAAGTATTTGCATTTCCATTTCTTCCTGAGGTAACACCTAACTAGATTACGTCTACGGTTTTGACTGTTCTTATGAGATTTTTGGACCTCAAACTCTTACACACTCTTTCGAGGAGATCGATTTTTTTCTTCCCTTAAAAGGTTGCACACTTGAACTGCAACGCTGCTTTTTCCTATTTCTAATTCGCATATTTTCTCTGCTTCTCTTTGGCTGGTGGCTGATTTTTACAAGAAAACTGGCTGCCATGAGATCTTTTACGTGCCATCAACTTTAATGTAAACAACTCTCTGCTTGAGCCAGCGTTCCTCTTCTTAGGCAGTACCTACAAAGTAATGTAATCTATGCATGTCTGAGATTTTTAGGCAACAGTTTCCATGGGTGGGGTATCTTCCCGTGAGGCCTAACATTTGAGCCCTCTTGAAAATGGCGGAGGTTTCAAGGAATAGGAGTTTCGGAGGTTACGATGAAGACTTTGTGTCTCAAGTCCAGACAGATCACCAGTGTCCCATATGTTACTTGGCACTAAAGAATCCTGTCCTAACGGATTGCGGCCATCGATTTTGCGGAACTTGCCTCGAGCGGTCTCTTACAAGGTGCGAATTGTGTTACAAATTTAGTACGGCCTCGTTGAAAGGCTGTTTTTGTATTTATCGACATTTCTTCAGGCTTTTTCGTTCCTTTGATCAAAGTATGATACATTAGTATTTGTATTCAGCACGGGGCTATTTACTTTTCCTATTCTAAAATCGTCAGCCGCATTTTCCACGGCTAACGACGGCAAATTTAAACGATTTAGCTGTTGATTTCATTCAATAGATCCAACATTCGCTGCAGTTTTTGAAATTGTCCTTGGTAGAGGTCCCATGATGTACAATGCTTTTTTCGGTCCGAGAGTGTAACCGATAAACATAACTTGACGACAGGAGTTGAAAAACGAATCTAGGAATATCGATTCCCACATTATTAACTCGATACTGGCTCAGAAATGGCTGCCATAACAGGACATAAAAGTTTGTGGCAACTCGTTGTTATCGAATGTGTCTGATCAACTGCAACAGCTACACAATCGTTGTCCACGACACTGACATGACTTTATTTAAAAGTGAAAAGGCCGCTAATCCATCAAGTGACTTGAGAGCAGGAAGATAAATTACTCATGGTGACTCGCCATGTTATTGCACATTACACTGCCGCACAAATCGGCACAAGATCAGGCGTTTTCTTGTCTGGAAAGATCACTCTTTTTTCTCACTTTATTTTATAAATCTGTACCTCGATGAGACGCGTCAATTTCTTCGTGCTATCACCAAAAAAATGTTAAAAAACCTTTCAATCTTGAGAAAACTCCATTAATCTGTCCATTTGCTTTTCTATCGGTCCGTGACATCAGTTTAAAGTTTTCTACCTTCCCCATCATTACTCAGAGTGCTTTATTGATATTGGCAGGAATATAACAGCTTCGTCTTGGTTTAACTGATAATTTCACTTTTATTAAACTTTCCCAACAGCCAGTCAGACGGAAGACGACCCACAAGTTGTCCATATTGCAGGAATACCATATTCATCACAAGGGTAAATATCGACACGCATGGATACTATCGATTCTCATTTATGCTAATTTAAGCAAGATATGCGTATCAAGCACTTGTAGGTGGTTTACAACCAATCTCTAGAGACATGGGTAACAATGGTGAAAGGAACAAATGCTGGTGGACGAACAAAAGAAGCTAATGATATATCTACTGTTTACGTCCACCAATATGACGTCAATGACGTAAAGTGCAAACCGACTATTGTGATACCACAGCAGGGTGTTCGAGATTTCGCTTTTTTGTCTCCTGTTAGAATGAAAGAAATGGCACATGCCATGACAAGGAATGAATGAAACTTTATTTAATCTCGGGTTGATGGGGTTGGTTAGACCCCTAGCAAGGAAAGTATGCTAATAAGCCGAGAAAACAAACCTTAAAAACTTACAGTGTAGATCCTAAAATAACATGACATAGCTATTTTTGCAATAAAAAGTCTAATTACTAAATAGATAATGTTCAATTGCTGAATTAAATTTAATTACTAATGGATAAAATTTAATTATTGACTAGATAATTACTAGAAAGATAATATAGAGAATTAGCTAAAACCTTAGCAATCGGGCTGCTTTTTTAAAGTTGACAAAGTGCTTATGGATCTCAAAGAATCAGAGATATCGTTCCAAGTAATAGCCGCCAAGTACTTTTCTGAGGTTTTTCCCAGAACGAGTCGTATTAGGTTTCGGTACTTGCAGCTTGTTAACCCCTCTCAGGTTTTTAATGTTAGTAAAAGTCGACGCAAAACCCACCAAATCGCTCAAATTCGCCATTTAGAGCAACAGAAACGACAATACACAGCAAGTGAGGTAGGTTTACATTTATTTTGAGCTTTAACTCAGACATCTCATGATATAAGTTTACGATAATAAGACTCTTTAATATTCTCCCATACATTCCTTTACATTTCGAATAAACAACCAGACTCGTCGCTTGTCTGGACCCCTGTGGTTTGAAAAGACCCATTACTGTACAAGTAACGAAGTGCTCGTTCATGCAACCTATCCAGTTTTTTACTATCAGACTTAAAACAGTGATGCCATATGGAGGAACAGTAATTAAAATGAGACATTATAAAAGAATTATAAAGGCAGAATTTGGTCCGAAACGATAAGATATTCTTTAGTCTACAAAGAACAACAAGTTTAACTTGTTTAAATAGATTGTAAAGCTTATGGAAACGCTCCACGGAACGAAGAGATTTTATAGAGTCATTTTAATTGTTGAATAAAATCGAAAGAATTGTCGAATTATGCAAATTAGATTCTATTTTTACAGTTTTATTACCGTAGTTATTCGGTTATAGGACGCGGTAGTTACTAAAACAAGGAATTACCTGGAAAGAGCTAGAATGAGCCGGAATAGGCTAGAATGATCCAGAACGAGCTGGAATGACCAAGAATGACCAAGGATGACCCAAGAATGATCCATAAAAATGATTTTCAATTGAATTTGTCTCCATATACTTGATTTTAACTTGCTAAACAAACTCTCTACGTCCTTCCGCCATTTTCTCACTCAGTTCGAAAAGGCTGATGGGATATTAGCCACAGGAAGCCCGATAAAATAATTCTAATGCGAATGACTTCGTGGGGCAGAATACAATGCATCAGGGGATAGGATATTTCCCGCCAAATCTCCAGCATCATGGCGGAAGAGTAGGCTTTTGTACATTATGCTAGCATTTTTTTGAGCATTTTAGTGAGGCAAAAGCATTGAGCATTATTCGAGCATTTTAGTGGGATTTTCCCGGAAAACTAATTTTTTGCGAGAAAATAAAATAGAAATTATAATTAACTTTTTTCAGTCCCGCTTTTAATTCACGAAAAAACCAAATACAGCTGAGTGGAGCTGGAGACTGAGGACAAGTCAGCAGTTTTACCTTTCGCGACTCAAAAGGCGGCCATGTTTGCTTTCTTCGTGACCCGTGTGAGTTACACAGGTCACGAAGAAAAAAGAAACCTGTATACGTTGTCGTTACTTGCAACACTTGTACGTAAGTGTAAACTTTCAAATTAATTTAAAAAAACGTTTGTATAATGAGCATTATCCGAGCATTTTAGTTACTTTTTTGGGGGAGACCGAGCATTTTAGTGGGAAAAATGGAGCATTAAGAAAATGGCGGAAGGACGTAAAGAGTTTGTTTAGCAAGTTAAAATCAAGTATATGGAGACAAATTCAATCGAAAATCCTTTTTATGGATCATTCTTGGGTCATTCTTGGTCATTCTTGGTCATTCCAGCTCGTTCTGGATCATTCCAGCTCATTCCGGCTCATTCCAGCTTTTTCCAGGTAATTCCTTGTTTTAGTAACTACCTATAGGACGCACCCCAAACTTGGCAACTTAATTAAGCCAAGTTCCCAAATGGAAAGTTTTGTGAAAATACTCAGTTATATGACGCACCCCAAACTTGGCAACTTGATGTATCTGAAAAAGTGATCACAATGATAGTCACAATAATAGAACACTATGAAAGAACACAATGAAGAACACAACTTCACGGTTGCTCTGGCCAAATAGCAAATAGAGAAAAACTCCCAGTTCGACTGCTGAATATCAACACGCTACAGAGGATGCAAGTTTCAGTGCACAAAAAAGGCTGGATAGACGAAAAAGGTAGGTTTTATCTCCACATTGTTTATTCAGAGACGGAACTTTTAATTTCGAGCGAGACACAAACACGACTCTAGGTATTTGAAACATGGTTTGAACGATTGTTTTGTAGTCATGGGTATCATGTTACCAGGCACCTTTGTTTGCTTTTAATAATTTTGCAGTAAACGTTTGCTTTTGTTGTTGATCTTTTAAGTTGATCAGTGTTCTAAAAGCAGTATTCCTTTTTAATTCATAGGAATAAAGGATTGGATTATACGCGATCTTTGCTACATCTCAGACCAAAAAGCCCTGCTCGTGTGGGATTAGTTACGGTTGTTGCCGTATAAGAGGCGGTTCTTTCCGAACCACCACAAACAGGACAAAGCTGAATAATGAAATGCTACGTCAGAGGGTATGCGGTCAACAACGCGGGCTCAAGTGTCCTAGGTCTAAAATTTAGCGAAATTAGCGGAAAATAATAAGGGCTGACTTTTAAAACCGAAGAACTCTGTTTTCGTCGAAGGCATTTTCCTATTTCCAGAGGTTTTAAGGAGAAAATTAATTTTTGAAAATTTTTAGGGGGTGTACCAAGTTTTTGGAGGTTGTTCTGTAAAAGAAAAGCGACAAGGAAAACGACGCCTCAAAGCAACAGAATAGGAAATCAACCATGCGAATGATTCAAAATCCGTGTTTCCGCGAAAAAACCTAGAGCATGCGTATACGTTATTCAGCTCTGTCCCACGACGGCTCTTTTCAGAGCCACCCTAGTTCTTTTTAGAACCACCAGATCTATAAAAGCTAATGACCAACAATTAGTGTTCTTTTCATGTCTTTGATTTGTAACTGTAAGTTCTGCTAAAATTGTGATCTTAAGATTTCGTTGCGCGAAAATACTCGGTTATGAGACGCACCCCAAGTTTTGAGTAGATTTTGATCAAAAAAGGGTATTTTCTTGAAAAAATGGGGAACCTTTTAAGTGAATAAATACGGTACTCCACAAGCGGAAGTTGTTAAGATACTGTCCTGCATGATGACGTCAATCTTTGGTGGGTCAAAATTTGAACCATTTCGCCAGAATTTGGTTTTGGCTAAAAACCTTTTTAGGTTATTGGCGAAAATGAAATATGGGTTACGCTAACGTTTCTTGATATGTCTATTATGTTTTTGCGCGTTTGCAACCGGTTGACTTTGAACATAAACTTAATGAACTCAGCTCATGCCTTTTCCTTGGAACAACTTTTATAATAGCACTAATAAAGAAATACAATTTAGTATCTTAATAAAACACTTAACATTGCATATTGTAAACAGATACAAAATTTACAATGGTTGATATTGGTGTAATCCAGACGCATGATAAACAGACATACATAAGGTATTGTTGTTTGGTTAAATGAGTTATTTTTGGCCTTATTTTAAGTTTAGCTCTCTCTCCGTTGATTTTGTTTTTAAGGATGTATTTTCTGATGCAGCCACAAAAAGAACGATTCTTTCCCTACCCATCAGATGTTCCAGTGTAGGATGCGTTTGGACAGGTGAACTAAGGAATAGCGAGGTAGGATTTTGGACCAAATTCCCCTCACTGGTAAAAAGAGCAATAAAGAAACCGCAACTGAAGCCACATTATCTTATCTGTTCAACAGAATCACCAGTCAAATTGTGATTTCTATATTGTATCGTGCACCAACAAAAATTGTGACGTGACACTCCAAAGAAGACGTCTCCAAGACCATGTGACCAACATGTGTCAGTGGAGGATCATCAACTGCTCATATTGCGGTGAGCCATACCCACATTGTCAGATGGAGGTAAAAGAAGCTCGGACATTTGTATCTACTTCACGGCCTTGACTTATTTATTTTCTTTCACAATCATGAAATAGTCGAATAATTTACACACTTATCATTATTATGGTACTTTTAAGAGAAAATGTGTACCACATAATTGTGTAGGAGAACAGCTTAAGAAGATGCAGGCACGGTAAAATCATTGGCTTTTGAGCTGGGTAATATCATGCCCTAGTTAAAGACGACGTGAGGGGACGTAACATTATAACCGCACAATTGCTGATATTAGGGACTTTAAGAAACCACGACGGCGACGCCAAGGAAGACTTCGATTAAAAAATGAATTTCTGCTCTTAGTTAGAATTTCAAAAATGGCTGCAGGGGCTTACTGTCTCATTATAGCGCCACAGCTAAACTTCAGCATGACGTATAAAGTAGCCGTTGAGTTCCAAATGGAAATTAAAATAATTTGCCGTCGCGGTTTCGGTTCGCAGACGACGCAAATTTTGGCGATTTCACGTTGTTGTTTGGCATAGGACGGCTAAGAAATGTACAAAGTTTCAAAACGCACGTGCTGAGCTATTGTTCTGCCAATTAGATCTCTTGTTTTTCCACGTCCTCGTTGCCGTCGCCGTCGTGGTTTCTTAAGGTCCCTATTATCAAAATAGGAGTGAGAGATTGATGGCAATTACAACGATCTGTTAGCAAAAGAGTGGAGTTGCCAAACGTGTTCTCACTTTTTTGCCTCTTTTAGTCGGTTTTGGAAACGGAAATACAGTCGTGTCTTGAGAGACACAAATCTGAGATTTCTAGATCTCGATCTTTACTAAACAGTTCAGACGCACCTCTCTTACACAAACAAGAGTTAAGGTCGCATTTCTGAGGTTTCTTATGGTTTAGTGAGTAAAATTAAGCTCTGGCTGAATGGGCCACTGGTATAGACTGACTAATAATGTTCTTTTACCTTTGAAACCCAAATGAGTTTAATGTAGAAAAACTATTTTCATTATGGAAAGTGATGGGATTTTCTTTTTCAGTATCATGTACCACAGTGTAACAAGTGTCCAGTGACGTGTACAAAATGTGACAGTTCAATTCCCAAAGAAATGGTAATTCTTATTGTTTCGGTCCATTTTTATGTGTACTGAATTAGGGCCTTCACAGCAGTAATTTTTGACATAATGTTACGTGTTTCACACAGGTTTAACACAACCCATCATTTGCTCAAACAAATCCAAAAAATGACGATGACAATGAGAATAACGAAAACAGTACCAGTGATGACGTCGATGTTAAAAATGACGAGAACGATGACGATAAAGATGACGACGATGACGTTGAAGGTGACAAAAACGACGATGACAACAACGAACGCAATTTTGAGTATGAGGATAATAGTTAAAGTAGTTCTGCAGCAATTGAAAAGTTACTGAAATTTTAAGTCGGAGGGCAAAAATGCTTTGCCACAAATTTGAAACGGCTGAGTGCCTCATCTGTTTGACCTTTGAAGACTTGTTCAAATGACAGCGATGACGATGACAGCGACGGTGACTGTTACGATAGCGACTCAACAGCATTCTGGGTAGGAGTCAGCATGCGACATCCTCGACTTATAAAAAATTAACGAGTTCACACTTACACTACTAGTGAAAGTCCCAAGGACAATGGGAATCCTAAGAAAAGAGTATTCGAAGTCATTTCGAATGATTTCAAAGCGAAAACTAAATGAAAAAACAAAATGTCGGTATTTTTAAACTCAGGATATATTTAGAAAATTTGCACCTTTTAATGTAAATTTTAAATCAGAAAAACAGATTGACGTTTGGAAAATGGTCGAAATATTAACTGTTCACTGATTCGGTATACTGAGATCCACTTCGCTCTCACCTAAACCATCCTCTGATCTTATAACATATTGAAACAACGTACAGACGGCTTATTGATGTGCCATACAACACAGTATGTTTGATTTATCCATAAGATATCACGCCAGTGAGGCGGCTCGACAAGTTCAGTTAACATTAACTTTCACCTACGCAATCCAATCATTTAGTTTAAACTTAAGTACAATGATAATCATAAGCATGAGTTAACAGGGAATTATACGAGTTGAGTCGATTTAAATTTGAGTTTGCATTCAGATAAAATTCTATCCTGTCCATTGGCGTCAGTCTTACATATTCATTTCATGGACTCTTTTTATTTTTCAGGTCTCAACCCACATTAAAGAAGAATGCCCACTGACTGAAATCCCTTGTCCGTATAAACATCTGGGGTGTGAAATTATGGTGTGTTTCTGCATGCAATAATAGGGGGGCTATTGCCTTATTAAAAATAAAAACACCGCACTTGACTAATCTCAGATTTTATCTGCCAAAAGGTTTAAGTAAGGCATGCAAAACTAAGACCAAAGCTATACTGGCTTGTACAAAAATTATAGTGTAGCATGACAAGAACAAGTGACAGGGCTTTTATAGCATTGTTATGTCTTGGTTCTTTGGTTAAAACTGTTTCCCAGCATTTGTCCTAAGAATAAATTTTTCAAAAATGAATTGCATTATACTTCATTACACCGTTTTCCTTATTCGACGTTGTACAATTACAGGCAACAAGGCGTCAAAATAGAGTTGAAAAGTTATTCTGGAATCGCTGACATTGTTTGTCAACTGAATTCTGTTGGATAATTCCAAGAAAGAGGGAAAGCTCGAACTGTTAGCTTAAAAAAACTGTTAAGACGAGAACTCGAATTTCATCAGACGGATAACAAGTAACTTCAAATAAATACTGTGTAAAAATTTCTTTCAGATTGAGCGACGACGTGTGGATTCTCATCTTCAATCTGACGTCAAAGCCCACTTGCATTTAGCTTGTGCAAAATTAGACGAAACAGAAAGTAGATGGAATGACACACAAAGAGATTTAGTCGCTACAAAGTTAAACCTTACTGAGACTACGTATAAGTTACAAGAGGCAACGGATCTCTTACAAAGGAAAGTGTACCCCTGGAAAATTGGCGGTTTTCGTAAGAAGTTGAGACGAGCAAAGACCGGAAAAAGAGACGTGGTAGAAAGTGATCCATTCTACACAAAAGCTGAAACAGAGAGTTATGGCTACCAGGTTAAAGTTTGCATTCATCCTAATGGCATTTCCAGCGGCAAAAACACTCACCTTTCGGTTTCCCTTATGTTACTGAAAGGTGAATATGACGCAATATTACCCTGGCCTATGAATAAGAAAGTGAAGTTCATACTGATTGATCAACAGAAGCATCCAGACGAAAGGGTAAACGTGTTTGAGGAGCTCCTTACCAATAGATGCACAGAATTTGCAAGGCCTGAAACAGGAGAAGGGAGTGGTTTCGATACATTCATATCTCATAGGGATCTTTTAAACTCGAAGCGCTTCATTGTGAATGACACTTTGTTTCTTCAGGTTGAGATTAATTCGCCATGAATTCTTTTCATGCAACAGACTTAAAGATCCGTAAATCTTTTACAACTATTCACCGAAGCGGCGAGGTAAATGTCCTCTGCTAGCCACAAACATTGAGGCGAACAGTTGCTTCAGTATATACTAAAACAATGAAATAACGTAGCACAAAAAATCAATTTGAACTCGTTTATTCCTGGAATGATTACAATATTTTCGGGAGCAAATACCGCGCGCGTTGCTCGGAGGTGAATAGAAAAGTAGTGAACAGGCAAGGGCCAATTCGAAGCAAAACGAAACGTTACCTCGGCAAATGCTTTACAAAAGTCTGAAAGGAAAAAGTAAATTCTTACGAGAGCGAAAAAATAACAATTACAACACAAACAATATGTGAACAGCTCTGCGATCGATCGTGTGCGATCGCGAGCGCAGGCAATCGCTGGAATAGAACCATGTTCTATTAGTGCGATCATATGTGAACAAAGTTCTGCGATCATGCGATTGGAATTTGTCCCATAATGCTATATTTTCCAGCGTGCAGCACTACAAGCGGCATGATACCACGACAACCAGTTGTTTATCAGCTTTTACACGTGTGTGTGTTTTGACAAGATGGAAGCATGGTGAAATTGACACGGAACAGTTTACGGAAGAAATTAGAAAATACGATTGTTTTTTCCGCATCCAGAAGCGAAGTTCCTTCTTTGACCTAGCAGCGATTCTCCGTTTAAGTAGAGACGACAGAAGCAGAATGTCAACACCTATTAAAAGTCCAGAGTCCTCGGCGTCCATGATCGCTGCGATCGGCTGCGATCAGCTGCGATCAGATGCAAACATGCGATTCGCGATATTCGGTTGAGTGGTTTCAGCGATCGTGTGATCACCTGCGATCGTCTGCGATCGTCTGCGATTATAAATGAACCAGGCATAGGCACAAAAAAACTCTGGTGGCATAAAAGGGGCGATACAGCAAATAGATCTAACTAAATTTACATACAACACGTAACAAAGAAGCATAATTAACAAATACCGAAAAGCAAAAAAGTACACAATGACAAGTAGGCGAGAGAAGGGAAAAAAGAAAAGACGGAAACAAAGGGAAAAAATTGCCCCAAGAATTAGTAGTAACCAATCAGAGCGCGTCTTCAACGCTATTTACTGTTTTAGTATATAATAAATATATATTTAACGTTGCAATGCGCTATCTTAGTTTTAAAGTTTTTCCGTCGCAGAAACAACTGTACTGTTTAAGTAGGAATCGCTTAACTTCAATGAGACATTTTCCTCTCTTTGTGACCTCATTCAAATAAAGCAATCTGTGTAAAATACTGCCTTGCACCCGTTGATACTTAAGCAAGTACCTTGTAAAGCTTTTTTGATTACATTCTGCGATTACAACTTGGCTCCGGCATGGTTCACGTCAGAGTACCACGACTGTAAAGTTATTGCAACCGCTAGCTAATTGTTGACCTCCGTACAAGTTCTCTGGGAGCAGATCTTTTAGTGCCAGGGAATCGTGACGAGTTTCCGTTCCCACTGCCAAGTTGTCTCCACCGAGCTACTCCCCCTCCATTGTTAGTGTTGTGTTCCCCGCGAAAGACCAGTTAGTGAGAAAAACGTATCGTTACCGCTGTTATTAAAGGTGAATATATATGCGTTATTTGACCAAAGGTAAGGTCAAGATGGCTGAATATTGGCCGAGTTCTTTTTTTGCATTTTTATGGACCGAGACGAAGTCTGGATCCATAAAAATGCGAAAAAAGAACTCGGCTAATATGTAGCTATCTTGACCGAACAAGCTTGGTGAATAAAGGATTTATTATATCGCAAATGAGATTTTGCTTTAATAAGAATTTGGAGTAACTTGTTTACTTCGAGAGCCGAGAAAGAAAGCCAGCTGTGTTTCTAGCGAACAAACTCACGAGAGTCGTTTCTGTTTTCTTTGTTTTGACTATCTTCTGCCACTTTTAGCGTTTCCATCGCTGAAATTTTCCAAGAATTTCGAACGCAGTTCTAATTCTACTTTTTTTTTCATGCGCGGGATCAATAGGGGCAATCCCGAGCGGGCAAGATGGGACCATCTTACCCGCTCGGGTAGCCAATCAGAACACAGGATTCGCTTCATCAGTTGCCCACGGGCGCTGCGAGTGATGTAATAAGATGAATTATTAAAAACTAGATCATTGGATAATGCAATTTAAGACTTTTTATTGGCATAGCCATTATGGTATATCAGCCAATATACCATAATCTACAAATATGGTAAGCGTACGCGTCAGCTTAAAATCAAAGGGGAGCTAAAAATTTAATAAAATTAAATGATTTAATTTAACGTTTTTAATAAAACAATTATTCCACTCGCGCTTGTTGGATATGAGATGATTATAGCCAACTCGGCGCTACGCGCCTCGTTGGCTATCTATCATCTCATATCCACCGCGCGCTCGTGAAATAATTGTTAAGTATTATATGGCTGTGTCTCACAACGACTGGGAACTACCGAATTCACGAAGTTGATTGGCTGAAAGGAATATTGAAAGCGGTCTAGATTTTCCCATCTAGACCTGCATCTAGAGCGGTCTAGAAAAAAAAGGTACAAAGAATATAAAAAATTGGCATATAAAAGACACAGCGTTCGGTCTTTGAAATACATGAAGTCGTAGTTGTCTTCGCCAGTGAAGAAAAAACATCCTAATGATGTATTGTTTTAAATTAACTTCTCAGCTCCTATTTAAACAATAGAGTGCTTCTATCGAGGAACTATCGGCTGATAGTTGCCCCGCAGAAATTTGATGTTCTTAAAACAAATATTTTCCCGAGAAGCGAAGCTTCGAGGGCAAATATGCTAGTTTTAAGAACATCAAATTTCCAAGGGGCAACTATCAAACCGATAGTTCCGAGAAATAAACACTCTATTGTTTTTATTGTTCGCCACTAAATTTTCTTCCGCGCCTACAGCTTGTCACAAATGTCAATAATTNCGAGTCGTTCTGTACATCACCTGACAAATACTGCAAGTTTCAATCAAAACTAAGTTTCTGCTACGTTTTCCAATTAATCAAGATGGTTTTGACAGCTGGATAGGGTCTACGGATTTAAAGTCAAAATCTACGTAAGCTTAAAGTTGTGTATGAAGGTTAAGTTCGATATACTAATATACAATACTGTGTGAATAAGACCAAGCGTTCTATACCACTGCTTTTTTGGAAATACAGTGAACTTAATTACATACATTGATATCTATCTATGGATAATGACGTGACTGCGGTCAACCAATAAAATAAAGATTATCTAATAGCTGAGGTATTTATCCAAATAGGAACAAACATTGCACTTGACTTTAACCTTTGGGAGCTTCAGGCTTGATTGCTCTTGAAAATGGCGGCGGCTTCGAGAAATGAGATTTTTGGAGGTTACGATGAAAAGTTTGTGGATATAGTCCATATAGATTTCCAGTGTCCTATATGTAACTTGGCACTAAGGAATCCTGTCCAAACGGAATGCGGCCATCGATTTTGCAGAACTTGCCTCGACCGGTGTCTTGAAAGGTGCGGATTGTAATACTACATTTTCCGTGCGGCCTTTTTTGAAGGCACTTTTTATATTTATCGACATTTCTTCAAGATTTGTCGCTCCTTTGATCAAAATATGAGTCTCGTATTTGTTTTCAGCTTGGGGTTTATAACTACTGAATTGACTACTTTGCGAACGACGGCAAATTAAATCAACTTACCTGTTGATTCCATCAGTGTCGACAGATCCAATATCTTCTGCCTCGGTAAAGGCCCCATGATGTACAAAGCTTTTTTTCGGTCTGAGAGTGTAACTGATAAACATAACTTGACGACAGGAATTAAAAAACGGCTCTAGGAATATCGATTTCCGCATTCTTAACTCGATACTCGCTCAAAAGTGACTGCCATAACAGAAAATAAAAGTTTGTGGCAACTAATTGTTATCGAATGTGTTTAATCAGCTCCAACAGCTGCCCAATCACTGTTCACGACAGTGACATATGATTTTACTTCAAACTGAAAAGGCTACTCCATGAAGTAACGTGAGAGCTGGAAGATAAATTACGTAAGTTGACTCGTCGTATTATTGCACATTACACTGCCGCACAAATCGGCACAAAGTCGGGCGTTTTCTTGTCTGGCAAGATCACTCTTTTATCTCACTTTATTTTAAAAAACTGTGCCTCGATGTGATGCGTCAAATTCTTTATGCTGGAAATTCACATTACGAAAGCAAATATATAAAGCTTCTAGTCTTGAGAAAACTCCATTTTTTTTCCAATCGCTCTAGCTTCTATCGGACCGTGACATCAGTTTTAAGTACCCTACCTTTTCTATTATTACGCAGAGTGCTTAACTGATATTAGCAGGAATATAATAGCTTCTTTTTGGTTTCACAGATAACTTCACTTTTATTCAAATTTTTCAACAGCCAGTTAAACGGCGGACAACTCACAAGTTGTCCATGTTGCAGGAGAACTATACTCAGAACAAGGGTAAATATCGATGCTCATGTATTTTATCAATCCTCGTTTGTGCTAAATTAAGCAAGATTTGCATTGTTGTTTAAGACACCTATTGTGATACTGTTGTAGGGTGTCTGAGACTTCGCTCTTTTGTCTGCTATATAAGTGAAAAAAGTAGCAGGAAAATGGGAATGCTAGCGCAAACCATAACTTGTTGAAATAGATTGTGAAGCTTTCAGAGTAACTTGACTAATAAAGTCACTTAGATTGTTCAAGAAAATCGATAGAATTGTCAAACTATACAAATTATATTCTATTTTCATAATTTCGTTATTCCACAAGCGGGAGTCGTTAAGATATCGGACCTGCACGATGACGTTTTACTTAAGTGAATAAAAATTTTAACCATAAGTTGACCATACGGCTAGAATTTTTTGCGTTGAAAGTTTGGTCAGAAACCTTTTCAGGTAAGTGGCAAAAACGAATTGCGGGTTACGGTAACGTTTCTCAATAGGTATATTCTGTTTTTGCACGTTTGTTTCTAGTCGACTTTCAAGATAAACTTAATGAACCTAGCTCACGCCTTCTTTCCTTGGAACTACTTTTATAATAGTACTAATAGAGAAATTTAAAATAGTATCTTAACATAACACTGAACATTGTATATTGCAGATGGGTATAAAATTCAAAATGGCATATACTGGTGTAATCCAGACACATGTATGATGGACAGACCTGCATAGGG